ATTATTTTGGACTATTGGGTTCCTAGTAAAAAAAGGAAATATTTATGGGAAAACAGTGCAAAATAGGGAATCCATATTATCAAGAAGAACCAAAATGTTACATAGAATTTAAAAGAGTCCACCAATACTCTCAAATTTATTTGTGGGACCTAGGTTAGGAATTCCAGTCCTATAGGAGCCCTGAAGGTGTCAATAGAAGAAAGGGGGGCCCCATTAGATTTAGGTTTCTCCTGGGTATAAATCACTGTTTTAGTTCAGTGGATTCTTTAATCTAGGCTTTGGGATCCCTTACCTTTGGGGTTTTTCCCACTACTAAAATATTTTTCAGATTTTGTTCCAGCCTTCTCTCTATCCAGGGATTTAACTTGAATTCAGAAGTTTTAGCTCCATAACTTTCAGAGTTAAATTAGTTTTTCCTGTGCCCTTTTAGAAAATGGGAGTGTTCTCACTAGAGTGATAACACTGTAATATAAAAACTGAAATCTGCTAAGAAAGCAGAGTTTAAATGTTCTCACCATAAAAAGAAACAAATAAGTGAGGTGCTAGATGTGTTAGTTAATTACATGGGAAGAGTCCTTTCACAATGTACACATATATCAAATCATTAAAGATGTTATCATTTTATTTGTCAATTATATCTCATTAAGGCTGAAACCCCTCCCCCACCCGGATCTCTTAATCTATTTCTAGAGGAAAAGTGAATTGCCACGTATGAAAAATAGCTTCCTCCTAATAGATGAAAGATTATTAGAACTTATTTGTAAAATTTTTTCACCATAGTGTTGAACGAATCTGTGTACAACAATTTTCCAAATAATAAGTAACTTATTAAGCATTCAAAAAATATTCCTTGGTGTAATTAACAATGGAATAAAAAATGGGAATAAGAATATGCCCAGCTCTGCTATATTTCATGGTATCCTAGTGCAGATTAAATGAGATGATACTGATAAAAGCATCTACGTCTCCTGATTAGAGGCTGCAAATTATAAACTGTAGCTGTTTTGTTTGATCTGCACAAAAAAGAAATTTTAATATTGAATCAGTCACCAACATTTTCCAATCAAAAGAATTACACAAAAATCTGGATTTCCACTTCTCTTAAAAAATTACATGATCTGGCAACACTGTTTCCATTTGTACATGGCAAAAACTGGCTGGGTTTCAGTAACAGCTGTCCCCTTGAAAATGGGCAAGAAGGCTTCAGTTTGTCACAGTCCTCAACAATCCCTGTTGATTCCGAACATGGAGGCAGAATGTTCACTGTCACGTTTTACCTTATAACTGCCCTGCATGTCATGCGTCTGCTCCATGTATGCATGTGGATTTACAAACCTCATTTAAATTTTGTTTCTATTTCTGGCTCTAGCTCCCAAACTGATTGAATGATGATCAATCTACTCATTAACCTACCAATCTTTCTTTCTTTCTTTTTTTCATGTTTTTCACCTGGATCTCCTTAATCAAACAAAAACTAGTATGAAAAAAAAATAGGAAATAGCATATACTAACCTTAATATACAATATAGCAGTAAGCACTACTTTTATTTTTATCTATTGTCTCTTTTTAAAAAGAAGTGACCTGAAAGAAAGGAGTGTTACTTTGTGTTATGCTGACTTTTCTCTATCCATAGGTTTTATTCATACTTCATCCTTTTTCCTGACTCACCTCATAAGCAGCACCTAGATCCTGGAATTTCTCCTGAGCTCGAGGATCATCAGGGTTCCGGTCAGGATGAAGCTGTAGGGCTAGTTTCCTGTAGGCCTTTTTAATGTCTTTTATAGAGGCACTTCGAGGTACCCCTAAGATCTTATAGAAATCTCGCCTGGGGAATAGGGAGGGGGAGAGGGTACTTCATTAAAGAGTTATACATTACATTTTTAAAAGCCAAATTTTTTCCTTTACATTTAGGTTTGTATATGAGCAAAGAGTATGAAAATGAAGGTATACATGTGACACACAAAAAAGCAGGACTAAAAAGAGAACACATCAGAATTTGTGATGAGTCTTATATATTGAAATAGTCACAATGAGAGGCTATGCACTTTTTGAACTTGGCTAGAATTATTCAAAACATCTGTGGTACACTTCTCTTAGAACTATCTTCAGGCAAGAAAACTATTTTACTTATGGCCACAAGTTATTTTCAACCAAAAACCACATAATCAAATTAACATTCTCCTCTTCCCTTCCCTCTATTAGTGACTTAAATGACTTCTGGCTGTTTCCAAAGGTCAAATAAAAACCAAAAGATGATTTTCTTTATTCAAAAAGATTCCATCACATAAATGTTCTAATAGTAGCTTTGTTTGGAATGTTAAACATAAAGTGACTGAAATTAACTTGAGAGGTTACCATAGAGGTTAAGCCAAAATCCAGTAAGAACCCTGAAGAAAGAATAACATCCATTTGGATATATGAATTGTGGTGTTATTTTGCTAAAAGTGAGAGAAAATATCAATCTTGGTGTCACTGCTAGTGGTTATACTGGTTTGTCTGGGTCAAGTCTTAATTACAGACAGCTGCTGAAGCCCATATGCAAGAGCCTAAAGTCTCAGCAGCTACAAATATACATATGGCAAGAGCTAGGAGATAAAGTACAGATTCGCTGACCTCCTGGCAAGGGACTATGCTGGAACCAAATTAACTATAAAAGGAATCTTTGCAAGAAGGGCCAATGGATGGAACAGACTATAATAAATTTTCAGAGCAGGGACTACAGCCTATAGAAGACACCAAAAAAATAATCGTTGAATGAAATGAATAATTAAGCATGATCACAGAAACCTACTCCTTTTGCCAGAGTCAGTTTAGCCATCAAAATTTATTCTGAAAATGCATTTCTCAACACAGGGGATGGGAAAGTTGTTCACAATGGACATGCTAATGTAGTAGCGATGGTGATTTTAAAACGCAATGGGGATAAAATGCACTGGGGTGCTAGGAGAACAAGTCAGAACATTGAACAAATTATTTCATAAGCTCTTGGTCCCATTTTGGAAAGTCATTTAATCATTTCAGGTATAAGTCTGAAAAATTATCACCCCCCCCCCCAAGGGATTCCATGAAAAATAATTAGATGCTTTATCCTCTCCCCAAAAATCTGCAAACGCCCCAGAGATCTCTTGAGACAAGCATTAAATAAATAAAAAGGTTCACTAAAATTAATAACAAAAGAGCTTTTTAAAGAATGAGGCTTACTTAGAATATGCTTAATATAAAAATGGCTAAGTAACAGCCCAGAAAAATCAGGGAGAAGATGGCTGGCATAGTTCAGCATCAATATTATAGTTCCCAAAAGACTTCTCCCCCCCACCAAAAAAAAGGTTGGCATTTAAAGCTATAGAATTAGCAAATTCATACTGACATTTTGTTTAAACATCTTGGGATATGTGTTGCTTTAAGTGAAGTACTAACAAAAACATACTAAGAAAAACAAAAGAGCATTACCTAGAAGAAACTAATTTTTTTAGCAACTTAAAATGCTTTACAAGAAAAAAATGACAGTAAATGTAAGCATATATGTACAGGGAAAAAAACTTTCAAGAAATAACAAGCACTTTAAAGTTTTGCTAACCAGCATCTCCTCCAGTTAGAGAAACTTACGAATTGTTAGAAGCTAAGATGTCCCACACTCTAAAACATGAGCCTGGCATATCGTATCCTGTGGTCACCAGGCTTTAATACCATGGATCTAAAGGGTTGGAAGGATCCTTAAGAGTTCAGTTGGTCCTACTCCATACAGGGGGCACCTTATTATCTTCATGCTACAGATAAGACTTTAGGTGGTTCCTTAAGAGGCACAGAATTCATAAGTGGGTTGGGGATGTATGGTCTTGAATGGCTCACTACCTGTTGGTGAAATGCTCTTCCCGTCCTAAGATCATAAAGCTTCTCAAGAAGATACCACAAAGAGAGACAGTGAAGCATGATGACAGCTTAGGATGAATTATCTCAAGAAACCGGGAAGTACAAGAACTCTCCAAAGAGTCTGCCTTGCTCCCTCAATCCAATTTCCTTCAGTCCCAGCATGGTTTCTCTGTCTGTTCCTACTTCCTCACTCAGCCTCGCATTCATAACCCACCCACTTTAATGTCAGCCCCCTCAGTGGCTGGCTGCAGGCTATACATTGTAGGGCCCTCTTCCACAGCTCAGCAGCAACCCCACCCCCACGGTGTGTCTGGCTGTGCATCCAAATCCCACTCTTTGGGGCAAATCTAGCTCCAGGGGCCTCTGGACCTAAGCCCCCTCACTCGTGCCATCCACTGCTCTCCTGTCCACCCCCCGCGAGCCTGGCCCACAGGACCCATTCTTCTGCCCCCACCGCCTCACCTCAGCAACGCCCCTCTCTACTCCCTCAGTCTGGCAATGCTCCCTCATCCCCAGCCAAGACTGACAGACTCACGGGCCCCGTGCCCGCGGGTGCCTGTTCCTCACCCGGCGATCACGGCCCCGAGGAGGTAGAGCAGCAACAGGCAGAAGGTGCCCAGGTTCTGCGGGGCCATGGTTTCTCGGTGCCGGCCTCTGTGCCGGTCCCTAGCCCACGCGCTCCTCACAGCCTCCGCCGCCGCCGCGTCGGCTCACCAGCCCACCCGGCGCAGAGAGGCCGCCTCCCACCGGGCTCTCCTCCTCGGTCCGCCGCGACAGCTAGCTCGCCCCCTCCTCTGCCAGTCTACTTCCCGGGAGTCCGGAGTCCCTGTGAGAGAAGCCCCCAGCAGGCGAGAGCCAATCGCTGCTCGGGACATCACACGCGGCCGGCGCCTCACCGCCAATCGGCGCAGTACACTTCACCTCCGAGGCGGCGCGGGCGGCCAGTTAGGCCTCCGAATTGCAGCCGCAGCTCTGGGCCAATTAGAGGAGGAAACGTCAGAGAGTCGCGCCGCCGCAGGGATCCGCTCAGCCTGGGTAGCCTCGAGTCGTAGAAAATTACGTAAAAAGGCGGTAGGGGGGAACCAGGACCAAGACAGGGCATCCAAGGTACATGAATTCCCCCCGCCCTCCACCTCGGACTCTCCACCAATCACAAGTCCCCGCTTCCAGTACCGACCTATTAAGGGAGGGACGATTTATCTTGTTACAAGTCTGGGAATTTCATTCATATTGAACTTTACGCTGGATGCGGGAGCGGAGGGACACAGGAGAAATGGGCGGAGACAATTACTCTAAGCCAACCGTGAGGGCGAACGCGTTGCTTGAGATCTTATTTTACCCTCTTGGAACAAGCCGGGTAGAAAATTACCTCGGTTTCACTGAGAAGAGGCCGTGGACGCAGACAGGTTTGGATTCGGATTCAGCTTCCATCACTTAGCGGTGAGAACATCCCCCTTCCCTTGCCCCCCACTCTAGCCTAAACTTTATTTACAAACCTGAGGCGAAACATTTTACTGGCAGTGTTGTGAAATTTTAATGGGAGGAAAGCTGTAAACTGTCTAGCACAGCGTCTGGCACACTAAGCCCGCAATGAATAACTATTATCACACTTAGGAGAACTCTTTGATTCTCCCCACCTCCTTGTTCATGACAAAGTTCTAGGTGTCTCCCTTGATTCCGCCCCTGTATTCCCTATCCAAATCTTTGCCTTTAAACTATATCCTGAATCTGTCCAGTACTGTTCATCTCCACTACATCTCTGCGCCAAGTCACATGATCCTAGCAAGACATCCTAAGTGATCCCCTGCTTCCGTTCTTAATATTTTACTCTTATTAACTCCTGACCCCCAGCCCCGTGATTTTTTGCAAGCATGTCATGTCATTCCCCTGCTCAAAACCCTCGAATGGCTTTTCATTGCACTTAACACCCCAACTCTTTATGCAGGCTTATAAAACTCTGTGTCTTAATAAAGCTGGGGGAAAAAAAATTTAAGCCCACTATGATCTGTGCCCTCACCTAGTATATTCCTTATCATGTTCCAGCAAGACTAGTTTTTTTTTTCTTTTTTGAATACACCAAACTCACTCCTAAGGCCTTTGTTCTAGCTGTTCTCTCTGCCTGAAGCACTCTTCCCTTAGTTTCTAACATGAGTGACTCCTTTTTACACTCAGATCAGTTGAAATGTCACTACTTCAGAGAAGTCTTCCCTGACCAATGAAAAATGGCCACTGCTGAGTCCCTTATTCTTACACCCTCCTATTGTTTCCATCCCTGCTGCCCACACTCACACAACTGTAGGCCAGTTTCAAGAGAGCATAATCTAAACTGTTCACACCTGAATAGGACAGCATCTTAGAACGGAGCCTGCCACAGAATAAAAGTTGTTTCAATTGTGATCTTCCTATGCTGGCTTCTTATACTTCAGTCCTCAGATCAAACTTGACATTGGTCCCCTCCTCCCCCTTCCAAACTTATAGCGTTTATTACATTACGAAACTGTCCAATTTTTCCTTAATATGTATTATCTATTCCCCTTATTAAAATATGCACTCCAAGAAAGCAAGGATCTTATCTGTTTTGTTCACTGCTGTGACCCTAGTGGCTAGCACTGTGCCAGACCCACAGCTGTGCTCAATAATAATTCCTGTTGCAAAAAACAAAGGCATAGAGAGGGGACAGAATCTGTTCAAGGTCACTGAACTATTTAGTGGTGCAGCTTGAATTCTCACCCAGATCTGTTTGAATCCAAAGCCCCTATCTACCCTTGGCTCATACAGAGGTAAGGGGGAGCACAAGGCTACTACTTTCAGGAAGATGCCTACTGGAGGAGAAAGGCCACATAAAAGAGGAACTAAATTGCATTTTATGGTCATATTTACCTTTGCAACTCCCACACCTATACAAGCCATAAACGAACTAAGAAACCAGGAAATGGCTAAAATTCATTAACTGGAGACTTCGAGAAAGGAGTGGTGTCTTCTGCAGGGTGGAATCCAAAAAGGTTTCATGACAGTTGTAATGTGGCGGGAGAGCTAAGAAAGCTAGCCTGCGGGCTCTTTTGTTAAGGAGCTGATAATGCCCGGGGCACTCGCTTCAGACCGCCAGGGTTTCTATCCTGGCTGCTCTCTTGTTGTGACCTTAGGGGTGTGTTACTTCCACCTCTCTACGTCCTAGTTTAGCTGTAGGTAAACCAAACGTACTCAACTTAAAGGGCTCTTGGGGAGACTGAGATAATACAAACAAAGGTGCTTTGCTTTACACAGGGCCGGCCCGCAGTGAACACTATAAATGTAAACTGTCATTGTCATTACATTACTGATCAAAGCGTGCCGACCTTACCAGCAGCTATTGGCTGACTATGGATGCGCAGAGCAATAAAAAACTTCCTGCTTCTCTGGACTGAAAGGCGCGATACCAGAAGCGGCCGGGTCCGGCTCCAGGTCCCAGCGCCGAGGACTCTTGGCTTCAGCGGAGCTAGTTCTCAGCCCCGGGGAGAAGCGGGAGGCCGCTCTAGCAATGTCAGCCTCCAGTTCTCGGTGGTGCTTGGCCTGGCGCTTGCGCAGTAGGGGAGACGGCTGGCGAGGGGCGGGCCGGGCGAGCGGGGCGCGGCGGCGCGCGGAGGGTGCGGCGGAGCGGCCCTGCCTTCGCAGGTAACCGCGCGCGGGCCGGCACCTGGGACGGAGGGCGGGCCGAGGAGGCTACCTTTTGGATCGTCAGGTCTCGGGTTCGCTACGGAGTTTGCCGGCTGGGGCTCCCCGGTTCCCAGAGTCCCGGCGGGCAGCTAGCGCGGCCCGGACCGGGACAGCGTCGGAGGTGGCGGCAAAGCCCCGGGAGGACGGCTGTGGATCTGACGCCCATCTCACCGCTTGAAAAACCCCACCCCAGCGCTCCCTGGGGCTGCTTTTGAGAGGGAAAGAGCCCGTGTTTAGGAATTTAGCCCTCTAGAGTTTCAGAATTCATTCCTCAGGATCTGGCTTTGGGCTGCGCACTTCAGGAACAGGATTTCAGGATCTCGCAGCCTCTTTTATTTTGGGGCGAACTAAGATCTTCCTCACGTAACTTTCATCTCTTTTCCTCAGAGCAGCGCTAAGCCTTCCCGTGTGAGGAGACAGTTACCGTTTACCCTTTCACACCCTTCTTTTGCGTTTCGTGCTCTCACGTTCTTTTACCTGGCCCTATGTGGCCTCACTTCCAAAGCCACTCGTTCTGGTAATCCTCTTCTGGATCCATTCCCATTTTCTGGAGATTTTCCCAAAAGCTGGGTTCCTAAAGTACGTTTGTAAGTAACGCGGTTCTCAAGTCAGACAGACTAGAGTTCTAATCCAGGGTGGTGCTAACCCAAGTATGTGACTTCGGGTAAGTCCCTTAACTTCTTCAAGCCCCAGTGTGCTTATCTGGAAGTGGGGACAATCATATTATCTCTAGGTGGTTTACGGCAAAAAGAGGTGCAGAACGAAAAGTATTTAGCGTGCTACCTTGAACATAGTAAGCATCCGGTTAATGTCAGTTAATTTTTGACCAGGTAATTCCCCAAAGAAGCATGATGTTCTTGGAATGAAATGGAAAGTATAATAATAGCAATAAAACATTTTCCATCAGTCATATAAAGAAGGTTTTTTACGTGATGTTACTTAATGCCGAGGAGTGCTCATTGGTCAAGTGGTCCTTGATGGTACCTTGGTCAAGTGATGGTGCAGTTTGATACAGTCATCTTGGAAAGCAATGGAAATATGCCAAGAACTTTAGAAATGTAACTTACTTCATTTAACCAATGCATATCTGAAAATTTTCTTGGAAATAATCATAGGGCAGAAAATTTGCAGAAAGATGGTAATTATAGCATTATTTATAATTGTGAAGCATTTAAATTTTGTTTTATTATTTAAATTGAAGTATAGTTGATATACATTATATTAGTTTCAGTTGTATAACATAGTAATTTGACAATTATATACATTACAAAATACCTGGGTGGAGCAGTTGGTTAAGCCTTGGACTTGGTCTCAGTTCAGGTCTTGATCTCAGTTGTGAATTCAGGCTCTGTGTTGGGCTTCACACTGGGTGTGGAGCCTACTTAAACCAAACAAAACAACACGCACAGTAAGTGTAGTTGCCATCTGTTACCATACAAAGTTACTACAATATTATTGGCTATATTCGCTATACTGAACTTTTCTTCCCTGTGACTTAATTGTTTTATAACTGGAATTTTATACTTCTTAATCCCCATCACCCTTCACCTACATTTAAATTTTCTACAGTGGAAAATTTTAACATATATGGAAGTAGAAAGCCACCAATGCTCATTATCCCACTTCAACAATGATTAGTATCTTGCCTATCTTATTTTAAACCTACTTAGTGTCCAAAAATAGGAGGACAGGTGAATAAACTAGGGTACCTTTATGTAGAGTGCTGTGAAGCTTTTAAAATAACAGAATTGTATATATGCTATTATCATGAGTTTTGAAAATTCAAAAACTAACATCCAATTTGTGTAGAAAAAGAGATGGAAAGGAAGTACAACAGAATATTAACTAGTTTCCCTTTGATGGTGGAACAGTGGATGATTTCCCCCCTTCTGTTTTTAGATATATTATAAGTATTCCATAAAAATTATCTATTGTTGTTATAACAAAGAAACAACAAACAAAATCTGAAAGCACTGCACCTGAACTCAGCACAAAGAATATGCCAGAGCAGCTTCACTGTTACAGAGAATAAAGATATCTCTTTCTGCAGCCAGCATTTGTGGGAGCATTCGTCTGCCACATCATGTTAGTGCTTCATATTGAACTAAATGTCAGCTAACAGGTCCACATCTTTAACCCACCATCTGCTCTGTGTGATTTGACTCTGAAATTTTATTCCTCTTATTTTGACTAGCATTACCCCTCAGCGTAGGCAAAGATTTCCTGTGAAGAGATGTCTCTCCCATTTCTTCTTTTCTTTCTTTCATGAGCAGGATTCCAACTCCTACTTCATGCATTTTTACACTCTCCCTAAAACAACCACTTCGAACCGTTTAAGTAAGATAATTTTGTTTTATCACAGAAGTTTTCTTATTTAAATCGGTTGTAGTAACATCTGATAAAAAATTTATTCTGCACTTGGTTGATAAACTGGATCTTCTTTATTTTTTGGTAAAGATTTTATTTATTTATTTGACAGAGAGAGAGAGAGAGAGAGAGATCACAAGCAGGCAGGCAGAGAGGGAGGAGGGAACAGGCTCCCTGCTGACCAGAGAGCCCAATGCGGGGCTCGATCCCAGGACCTTGAGATCATGACCTGAGCTGAAAGCAAATGCTTAACACTCTGAGCCACCCAGATGCCCCGGATCCTACTTTTAAATTGACAAATACCTCTTTAAACAGTGAAGGAAGGGGATCATCTTAAAGAAAATGTGTAAATGGAAAAAACAACAACAAGAAAATGTATAAATGAGTTTTGTTTCAAATCAGTGTGTGAAAAACTTTTGTTTCCTAGGTATGCCAAGAAGCCTTATCACACAGATGTCCTTCGAGATAATATGGATCAGTCCGGAGTTCACCTCTGGGTGAAAGCAGAACCCTTTATAGTGGGTGCCTTGCAGGTTCCCCCTCCATCCAAATTCAGTCTTCACTATCTCAGGAAGATATCCACCTATGTGCGAACCCGGGCCACAGAAGGAGCTTACCCACGCCTATACTGGTCCACATGGAGGCACATTGCATGTGGGAAGCTGCAGTTGGCTAAGGACCTGGCCTGGCTTTACTTCGAAATATTTGATAGTCTTGCAGTAAAGACACCAGAGGAGCGCCTGGAATGGTCCGAGATTCTGTCCAACTGTATGTCTGAGAATGAAATTGAAAAACAAAGAAATAAGGTATGGATTTATATGTCTGTGTATGTGTGTTTAATTATTTTGAGAAATAAACTATCTTTAATTTTTGTACTAGCTGTGCAGAGTGTGGTTTTAGGTTAATGGCTATTGTGATTCCAAAGTGCCATTTTTTTTAACTGTTTCATTTGGGCAGTATTTAATGAATTAGCCCTTAGAAATCACTACTCACCTACTTCCAAAGCACTAATGTTACAAAAACCCTGTAATTTAGGGAAATGCTTTCACTGACTTTAAAAATATTTTAAGGTGAGTGAGTGGCTATGAATCATTGATATGTTACAGTTAGAGAACCTGACTAATTTTCAGTGAGGATCTCCTATGTGCTGGGATTCAAAAATGACTGGAACAGCATCTCTGCCCTCATCGAGCTGTTAGACTAGTAGGGGAAGCTGGAGTGTAAAAATAAGTGCTGTTTGATAGTGTAGAGTGTGTAATAGTCAGAGTGTGCATAGAGTACAGAAATAGGATAGGGAAGAGAATGGTTAGTTCTGGTGATGGGGAAAGACTTCACAGAGAAAGTATATTAATCAGAGTAGGCTCATTACAGTAACAGGCAATCCTGCCATTTCAGTGGCTTAGCACAGTAACAGTTTTTTCTCATTCATGCAGCAGTGTAACACGGGGCATCTGGTTGGATGAGTCTCTAGGCTGCTGTTGTCCAAGCAATGACTCAGGGATGTAGTCATCTTCTATCTCTGGAGCCACAATGTTATTAGCTTTGCTGCAGTTAAAAACAAACAAACAATGACATTCTAATGGCCTACAGTAACAAAGGTTTGTTTCTTGCTTATTTTACACGCAGCCTGCACTTTAGCTAGGGCTAATGGTTATGGCTTGGCTTTGTGTGTCTACTCATTTGGGAACCCAGGCTGAAGAAACATATTCTGTATAGTTGATGCCTATTCTGTGACAGAAGAGAAGAGCAGCAGAGCAGGAGAAAACTCATGATTCCTCTTAAAACTTTTTCTCTGATGGGACATAAACTGTAACTAGTTTCATTCCATTGGCTAAAGCTTTGTTATATGTCTGTGTCTAAAATCAGGAAGATGGGCAGCTAAACTACTTCACAGGAGGTAGGGAAATCCCATGGCCATGGATCAGGCTGTATAAACCTCCTAGAGGATGTGGAAGTGAATAATTGCATAATTATAATAATTATAATAAAAAAGTTTGCCCCAGCAGTGCCCACTAGGGCCTCAGAGTCCTTCACTTCCATTTCTTCGTGGAGCATTTTTGGGAGACTTGAAAGTGGCGTTTGTCAATCGCCCACATTCCTTTGACTGTAACCCAGTTATACCATGTCTAACTTCAAGGGAGGCTGAGAAATGCCATCTAAATATGGGCCCAGGAAGAAAAAATTTTTAGTTAGTATCTAGAAAAATATTTAGTTAGTATCTAGCCACTCTCTGCCACATGGGGTAGTATCTAAATAAAGTTTGGAAATTGAAAAGTTTGCCACGAGAGGAAGGACATTATAGTTATTCATTAATTAAATGTTGAGTGCCTACTGTGTGTGAGGTACAGTACTAGATGCTGGATTCAGAGATTAATCAAACCTTCAAGAAGCTCCACAGATTTTTTGAGTGCTTATTATGTGCTAGATTCTATGCTGTGTACTAGGAATGTAAAAGTGAAAAAGATGAGAATCTTAAAGTCTCATGAAGAGGAAGGTATATGAATAATGGTAATATAACATAATTGTTAAATGGAAGTAGGTATAAAATCAAGGAATTTTGCTGGGTGAAAAAAAGCCAATTCCAGAAGGTTACATACTATATAATTCCATTTATATAACACTCTTGAAATGACAAAATTATAGAGCTAGAGAACAGGTAAGTGATTGTCAGGGATTAAGGAAGGAGTGAGGGTGGGAGGGAAGTAGGAAGTAGGTGTGGCTATAAAAAGGCAACATGAGAGATCCTTGTGTAGATGGAAATGTTCTGTAACTTGGCTGCATCAATGTCAACACCCTGATTGTGCTACTGTATTAGAGCTTTGCAAGATGGGAAACTGGATACAGTGTACATGGGATTTCTCTATTAGTTCTTAAAACTGCGTGTGAATCTACAATTATCTCAAAAAATTTAAGAAAGTAGCATTTTAAAAAATATGTAGATTTATGGGGTTCTGATTGACAGTTGATCAAACAGGTCTAGATAGTGCTGAGAATCCGCATTTTTCAATTCCTTAGTTATATGGTTTTAGCCAGGTTGGGAAGCAGAGTGAATAGAGCTATAGTATCAGATGTATTACATTTTTGTGTCTCCTGTATGTGTATGGGAATGGATATATGAGGGTAGTCATGAGCTTCAAATCCTGAGCTTCAGTACCTTTCTTCAAATAAGAAATGATTTATAAACACCTCTCAGACCAACAGTATTTTTTTAAGTCAAATACTCTTAAGAACTTGATGCAAGGGGCACCTGGGTGGCTCAGTGGGTTAAGCCTCTGCTTTCAGCTCAGGTCATGATCTCAGGGTCCTGGGATGGAGTCCCACATCAGGCTCTCTGCTCAGCAGGGAGCCTGTTTCCCTCTCTCTCTGCTGGCCTCTCTGTCTACTTGTGATGTCTCTCTCTGTCAAGTAAATAAAATCTTTAAAAAAAAAAAAAAAGACCTTGATGCAAACCTGAGTCCTCCTCCCCCACAAAATGCAATTTCATAATTCGTAATTCATAATTTCAAAGATTACATACAATTTCAGATCTTGCATTAATATCCTAAACTTTTTGGAAAAGTCTGTGAGCCTTAGGTTAGACTAAACTGCATATTTTGGCGAAATTTCCTTCTTCCTTCCATTTATTTATTCAAATGACTAAAGTTTGTCTTTTTTTTTTTTTAACTGCAATTTTAAACTTCTGAAATACTATACTTTTAAAAAAATATGTACTTCATCCTCTCCTCTTCATTGATTCTGGGGAAAGAATGTCTATGGCCATAGAGGCTGCATAGCTTTCCGAGAAGGTAAGTGACTCTAGTTTAATTCATTTTTGAAACTCCTATATCTGGGTATCAGAAGCATACATATCAAATGCCAGCCACTTTCTACATTTTTCTTTTTAGGATTTGCGAACTGTTGTGAATTTGTCTTGCTGTATTAATTGTAGACTAAGAACTGATATGGTTTAGGACATGTATTCATCATCTCTTTTCTTTTTGGCCAGCTTTCAGTGAACACCCTACAGTTTCTGCTCTTCTTATACATACAGCAGTTAAATAAGGTCTCCCTGAGGACATCTTTGATTGGAGAAGAGTGGCCTAGTCCCAGAAACAGATCTCAGTCTCCTGACTTGACTGAAAAATCCAGTTGCCATAATAAGGTACTGTTTAAATCTTGGTCTTCTTCTTTGAAAGGGACAATTTATGAAGGGGATGATTTGCCTTCATTAAAAATCATGTTGGGATTACTTATGTAAGCGAGTCCTTTGTTGGTGTATTTTGTTTGCCTTTTTCGTTTTTTTCCTATTATAAAACAAAATAAATATTTGCAATCTTCGTCCAAGTAGAGAAGTACTTTCCATTCATTCCTTCAGTGACACAAAAATCACATGATTTGGGGACAGATTATTCACTGTACTCTCATTAGCATTCTCGTTTTTGCAAATGTTAATGAATTTGAATCTACTGATTTGACTAAGTTAGGATAAATGAGAAGATGTAGTATTTACAAAGTCTGTTGAAATCTACTGAAAAAATTTCTACAAAAATACCTTCTTATATGTTTAAGTGATGTGCTTTCATATACTTAAGCTCAGCATGCTTGTGTCATATGATGACATATTTATGTCATATGATGTGACAACCTAGAAGTTAAACTTAACTGCCTCACATTGTGAGTTTTAGAAACTGTGTCATTTCTTTTCTCTTTTTCTAAAGAAAACTGAAATGTTTTTACCTGTTTATGTCAAAGTATTCTAAAAAATCTTAAGCAAAACATAGATCTCAGTATGACTGCCATGCACAAGTTCTTTAAAAATGTTCTGAGGCAAACAGCAGCAACAAAAACTTTTCTGATATTTGGTACTTTTATAATCTCCTTTTTCAACTAAACCTATCCACCTGTATGTTGTATGATAAGATTCCTTCTGGTTGTGCTTCTCATGTTTCCTGCTCATTCTTCTTCATGAGCTCCCCACTGGCCCCTACACGCCACTATTCCCCCAGGATTCTGCCTGTGGCAATTTTATCTTCTCGCTAGACATATTCTTTAAACACAATTCTTCTCATGACTTCACATATCTCAATGACTCCTGAGTTTGTCTTCATCCTAGATTTCCCTCCTCATGTAGGTGTTCTGTCTATACCTGAAATTCAGAATGTTCAAGTCCAGGTGTATTAGCGAGGCCAGTCATTGTCTGTCTTTCCACATGAATGGGCACCATGTAGAGATGGGGTTTTGAACTAAGGTGGTCTGCATTCAAATTGGCTCTTACATTCAATATCACATGATTTTAGGCAAGTTGGTTAACTTTTCCTGGGCCTTGGCTTCTCTTCTGTAAATGGGGATGGTAATGCCTATTTCTGAGTGTTGTGGGAATCTAGAATACATTAGCGTGAGACTTGTTGCGCAGTAAGCATCAGCAAATGGTGACTCTTAGTTTGTGCTATAGAATGACCTCTCCGAACAACTGATTTAGACCAGATATGGACACATTCATAGGTATGTATTTGAAATTGGTCTGCTTTGAATGGATGACCCGGCCCAAGCAGTGCCCCCAGAAACTGAAGAAATTACCAGTTTGTGCTGGGTGCTTGAGCTGGGAGCGCAGGTAGCATTGGTACCAGAAGATCCACCATATTCATGGGTGACCTGGAGTTATGAGGGATTAGAAACTCTGAGGTAGTCGGAGAAAAAGACAAGAATGGAACAGACGTGTAGAGATGCTGGCGAGAGAGAACCAGGAGGCTCAAGATGGCCTTCCAGTTGCACTTCTGATGAGACCTACCTATACTTTAGTTTGGGAGATGACTGTCTGTCCCTACAGTAAAATCTCCCTTTACTCGAATTGACTTATATTCCTGAAGCCAGAGAATGTTACCACCAGCTACCAATGCTCATTCTCTTAGCACCCATACCTAGTTTTCTGTCAAGTCTTTCTTATTCTGCCTCAAAATAACTCTGATTTAAAAATCTGTCCCTCTTTGAGTGGCTGGCTCAGTGGGAGGGGTGTGTGCAATTCTTGAGCTCAGGGTTGTAAGTTCAAGCCCCACATTGGGTTTACTTTAAAAATAAAATCTTTAAAAATAAGTTCTGTCTCTTTTCTTCCTCTTATATAGGTCATACTGACATTTGGGGGAGGCCTTGATTTCTATAATTAGGTCCTACCTGGTTACCCTGCTTTTAGTCTACCCTCCACCTACTACACAGCACTTTCTAAATGCAAAAGGATTCTGTTGGTTTTTGTCAAAACTCCCATCAGTAATTATCATTGTCACTATTGTTTTCATCTCGTGCTCCACGAGATGAGAGCCTGCTGTGGATGAGGGGGATGCAGTAAGAGGTGAAGAATGGCTGCTCTGCTTTGACATGTTCTGTGGTGTCTCAGTGAGAGTGTATTAAAAAGAAAAATAGGGTTAGCTATTTAGAAAACAGTTTTAAAGTCCCTGGCACACAAGATAAAGCCCAGATGCTTTAGTGTTTTAATAGGCCTTTCATGATTGGTCCCTACTACCAGTTTTCTGAACACAGCAGGTAATGTTACTGCTGTGGATCTTTACATATGCTATTCCCTAGGCCTAGAATGCCTTTTTGCCTTGTCTGTTGGCATAACTACCAGCATTAATCAAGAATCTGTCCAAACAGCACTCTGATGATTTTTTTTCCCCAAGAGGGGTTCCTTATTCCTTTCAGGCTCATAGCATTTCTTTACAGATCTCTGCTGTAATTCTTATCTCATTGTATAATAGTTGCTTATATTGTCTTTTCACTACTTAGGCTCTGAGTTCTTGAGGATAAGAACTATGTCCTATTCAGTTTGCATAATTTATCACCTAACACTGTTCATACCACATAAGAGATATTCAAGAAATACATGTCAAATGAATGAGCCAAGTCACTGAGACATCTGCCAACTCAAAGCTTATTCCAAAAGTGGTAACTTCTCTTAAATCTAGCTACTGTAAGGGTAGTTGCATTGTTTCATCCAGTGGAATTTGAAACTCCTCCTGTAATAAGAGAAGGTAAATAAAGAAAGCCCGTGTTTCATGGAATGAATGTCCAAGGTGGCTAATTTTATGTTAGATCTGTAACTTACTTACTAGCCATGTGACCTTGGGCGGGTTTCTGAATCTTTCTGTATCTCCACTTCCTCATTTGTAAAATGGGCATGGTAACGGCATCTGTTGCAGGATTCTTGCTAGGATTATTAAATATGTTGAAGTTTGTACAACACTTTGTGGTTGGCGCACACTAAGGTTTAGCTATAATATTACTTTTGAACTAGCTAAGGAAGGGAGAGATTCTGTTTATGTCTATCACATAATATCAAAAAATCATTATAAGGTTTATACTGTTGCCTTAAATGCTTTTTTAGGAGATGAGGCAAAGTAGAAATACAAAATAACTAAAATATACAATTTTCAGGTCTTATAAAATCTGTTCTATTAAGAGTGCTTTATTTTGATATTTTTTAGAACTGGAATGATTACAGTCACCAAGCATTTGTCTGTGATCATCTGTCAGATCTCCTTGAGCTACTTTTAGATCCAGAACAACTCACTGCATCATTTCATTCGACCCATAATAGTCTAGTCTCTCGTGAAGCTGTTGTGGCCCTCAGCTTTCTTATTGAAGGTACAGTGAGTAGAGCCAGGAAGATATACCCACTTCATGAACTTGCTCTGTGGCAACCACTGCATGCAGAAAGCGGCTTCTCACGGATCTCTAAGACCTTTTCTTTCTACAAGCTGGAAGCCTGGTTGAGAGCCTGTTTGACTGGGAATCCATTTGGTACATCTGCTTGCCTTAAGTCTGGAAAGAAATTGGCTTGGGCTCACCAAGGTATTTTTTTAGTATTTTAATATATGTTTAATTGAATGACAAGATAAGGAACCTAATATTCTCTGGTTTATTAATAATCATACATCTTCTATAGACCTACAAAATATTGCTACTATATGAGAGAAAGAGGGAACTGTTCTCTTTTGTCTATGACTTTTTTTGTCAAGGCAGCAGTAGTCTGAGAGAGTTGATTTCAGAGTCTGGGTCATTCTGGTCACAGTTAATGGAACTCCAACTTCAGCATTTGTTTCTTTGCTCTGCTTTTCTCTCTTCTGATCCTTTCTCCCTCGCCTTCTCTTGTGCTCATTTGTTGAGGGCCTTCCTGTTTTCTCCACACCACAGCTGAATTTGACCATTCCACGGTTACAACCTCAGAGAGTTGTTGTAAAAATGGGATCCTTTTAAGGTTCACAGACACAAACAGAAGAGACTTTTCTAAATTGGAAATGTCAAGTTAAGGTAGAGAAAATCTGGCCTTGGTTGCATCAGATACCTATTTCTGACAGTCCGGCGAAGGCTCACAGGATAGGTTCAGGGGCTGTATGACTTCTGGGGGCCCAGGTATAAGTTTAAAGAGGAGCAGATGCCTACACTGAGACAAATGCCAGGCAAAATTAATGAAAAAAGGGGAAAAAAATGAACTATAGTTCCACAATCTCTGAATTTCAGGGATAAAGAAGAAAATAGGTTCCATGTAATTTTTAAAAATCAGTTTTGTGTCAAATTTTTATAATGCTAAAAAACAAAATGATTGAACAGTGTCTACACACTCTAAAGCAAAAAGATTGTGATCCAAGAATTCTATATCCAACCAACCTATTGCTCGAGTATGAGGTCACAGACTTCCAGATATCTAAGGGTCCCATAAATATATAGGATACTACATAATTCTTGATGGTGATAAAAGAATATAGGCTCAGGCAAGTTTTTAAATGTTGTTACAGTAGTCCTTAATAGTAAGAAGAGGATATCTAACCTTTTTAGGATTATACCAAAATGTTAGCAGAGCTAGATAATAAGATCACAAATAATTTGTATCTTCTTTTACCACTAGTATTTAAAAATTATTTACAAAAGCCATGTATTACTTATTTAATAAAAGGAAGCATTACGAATTGGTAATTTTTTTTTTAAGTAATAGCATACTTATGTGACCTCTTCATATTTGACTAGTATTCTTTATGGAATGTCCTGCTGGCTTTCAGAGAGGTACTGTCTTAGAAGCCAATCACATACGGTGGGACTGTATAAGGAGGGCAACCTCTCACAGAGTTTTTGAGTGTCAGTTTGTGCAAGGCACTGTGTATGAAAGGAGTTTGTGCTCTCAGTTACTAATGATGTAGGGATCAAAGGCCTGAATCCAAATAGAATTCATGGAATGATGTGGTAAGTAGCTTAGGAGAGGGTTGAAATTAGTATTGTGGTGATTTAAAGAGATTATTTATGGATTGGTATGATAAATTAAAGCAACTTGGAGACGATACTTGAGTTGTTGAGTTGGGCCAGCTCTAGCCACATGACCTTAGGCACATTACTTGAAAGATACACATGAAAAAAAAAAAAAAAACTTAGATCTGTAGGCAGTCTTAATGGACTAGAAGTTTTAAACTATTTTTATCACAGAAAATTATGAAATATTGCAAACATACAGAAAAACACAGAGAACAGTATAGCAAATACCTCTTTACCCAATGTCCAGATCGAACATTTTTCCAAAGCTTATTTGTATCTGATTTTAGACACTTACACACATAGGCATATGTAATCTCATATGGTTGTTTGTTTTTCTTTGGTTGAAACTTACCTCATTTATTTCTCTTTTTCTTAAATAGTTGAAGGGACGACCAAAAGAGCTAAGATTGCTTGTAATACACATGTGGCCCCTCGGATGCACCGCATGGTGGTGATGAGCCAGGTTTACAAGCAGACCTTGGCCAAGAGCTCAGATACTCTGGTGGGGGCACATGTGAAAATTCATCGTTGCAACGAATCTTTTATATATCTGCTCTCTCCCTTACGGTAAGCATGGTTCTAATATTTTGATTTTTTCTTTGAACTGGGATTGATCCTCTTTTGCCATCATAGAATAATTTTGTAGTCAGCTGTTCTTTTAATCTTACTCTCATTTAGAGGAATTTACCTCATTTTTTTCATTTTTCAGATCTGTGACCATCGAGAAATGCAGGAATAGCACCTTCGTGTTGGGCCCTGTACAGACTGCTCTTCACCTCCACAGCTGTGACAACGTTAAAGTCATTGCTGTTTGCCATCGTTTGTCCATCTCTTCTACAATAGGCTGCATCTTTCACATTCTGACGCCTACACGCCCCCTTATTCTCTCTGGAAACCAGGCAGTAACTTTTGCCCCTTTTCATACCCATTATCCAATGCTGGAGGATCACATGGCCAGGACTGGCCTCGCTACGGTGCCTAACTATTGGGATAATCCAATGATTGTGTGCAGAGAGAACTGTGACACAAGTGTCTTCCGACTCTTACCACCTTGTGAATTCTATGTATTTATTATCCCCTTTGAAATGGAAGGGGACACAACAGAGATACCTGGGGGTCTTCCATCTGCATATCAGAAAGCACTGGGTCAAAGAGAACAGAAGATACAAATCTGGCAGAAAACTGTGAAGGAGGCTCGTTTGACAAAGTGAGTGTTTTCTAGAGAAGAATTTGTCTTATGTAAAACTCCATGAGAAAACAAATTAATCTGTACATGTGTACAGCTGCACTAAAGTAATAAAAAAGATGTGTCTTTTGTTAAGGTCAGTATTCCAGGCTTTTTGGTTGGGGGATGGGAGCAAGTAGATATTCAAGAATTAGACTCCCTTCTTTTTGGAAGCTTTAGTTGATAGTTAACTTATGTGTATGAAAGATCATATGTAGAACATGCCACATGATCCAATACTTACATGAATTGGTTTTAGTTTTTAATTCTCTAAACTGTGTCATTGGTTCTCAACTTCGGTTGTACAACAGTCTTCCAAGAGGCTTGTTCAAAATATGGATTTCCTGACTCCTCCATACCACAGACAGACTCTCCGAGGGCGGATTCCTAATGCTGCTCCATGGACTAATGCTAGTTCTTGTCCAAGTTTTCCCTAATCCATGGTAAAATGTGAAAAATAAGTACAGTGTTGTAAAACAAAGCTAAATTTAGTCTGCTTAAAATGTTGTTTTTTATTCTGAAATTATATCCTTCCTAAACTTGGGGTGCTAAAATATCTTATTTCTAGATTACATGCTTATGATAGTAAATGGTTGTGGTTTATTACATTCACCACAATATTTTATCTCAAGGGTACTGGTCTTTGAACTCTAGAACCCAGGGACATGCTATACCTTTAATAGAGGTTCAGGAAACATCAGTGTGGGTGGTCAGGGATGATTTATAGAAGAAGTAGAATTTGTGTTGGACCTGGAAGAATTAGCAGTGTTTGGATAGGAGCTGAGGACTGGACAGAATACTTTTATGGTGCATCTGACCAATCTTTTTTTTTCCTTTGGGGTGGGAGGGGTGGCGGTGTTACAATGTCAAGAACTGAACAGAGCAGTTATCTGGAGGGAATAAATGGAGAACTAGAAATAATTTTAATGTCTATCCCATTAAAGTACCTTATAATCACCTGGAATAAAATGAACATGAATTAGTGTTCTTACATTCTTTTTGCTCTTGATGGCACTTTTAGGGATCAAAGGAAGCAGTTCCAGGTACTTGTGGAGAATAAGTTTTATGAGTGGTTGATTAACACGGGACATCGCCAACAGCTGGACAGTCTTGTGCCCCCTGCTGCCGGCTCCAAACAAGCAGCAGGATAAGATTCCTACGTGGAAACACTGGTGGGCATTTATAATGTAGACCGCTTAGAACAAATTATCTTGGGAAAATCTTACAAGCATGCTGCAGAATATGATGTTACTGGCCACTGCCTCTTTTTCTCTGCCAGGCCCACTAGCATATACAGACTTTTACATACCCATTTTTACCACATCTTATAGTGAAGACCAACCAAACTATTCCATAGGTGGAGCCTATGGAATAATGGGCAAATATTAACAGCCAAGTTTTGTCTTCTTTGCTTCTTACCTAGTATAGGTTGTACTGTTCAAAGATACTACTTTCCCCATACATAGCTTTAAGTTGTATTTCCCCTTTCTAACACATCTCTCGTCTTTCCCATCACCCACACAGAAATCAATTAACTGATATTTGTTAATTACACATAACATTAATAAATTACCAGAATTAATCCAAATGAAGATTTGAATACTGAACACTAGAAGATCACAGATCCAATAGAAGAGAGCATGGATACAGACAAATTCATTAGAAGTCCTTTAATCTAAATAAAAAATATTCTCTTTTTTAATACAGAAATTAGTTTACTTTTCTATTTTGAAGCCTTATTAAAGACTAACAATAGGAAAACAGATAAAGGATTTCAAATAGTTCACAGACAAATACAAACACAAAGATATCTTTACTTACAATTAATGTAAGATACTGTTTTTCTTCTATCAGATTGGCAAGGATCAAAAGCTGGTATATAACACTGGTAAGGTATTTTGTTTACCACTGGAAAAAGTGTACATTTGTACAACATCTTTGGAGGATAGTTTGACAAAATAAAAATTGTAAATGCACACATTCTTTGACTTAGCAATTTCACTTCTTAGAATTTATCTTATACATACACCCATGTATTAAAGATTTAAACAGATCTTTAAAAAATATGTTCATTGCAGCATTGTTTGAAATAGCTGTAGACTAGAAACAACCCAAGTGCTTTCCAATAGACGGCTGGTGCCTAATGCATTGGTTCCTCTATGTTAAAGAATGCATCTTTAAAAAGAATGAGGTCTATCTGTAGGTGAGATAGTAAATCTCTAAGCTGGGGATTTGGAGGGGTGAAGGCAGAAGAGGAGGAGTAAAATACCGCCTGTCTGCTTGAAAAAAAAGAGGGGTTATCACATGGCTGTATGCTAATTATATGCCTTAAAAACTTCTAAAAGGACATAAATCATTGAAAGTGTTTGTCTTTGAGAAAGGAGACTAGATGTCTACAGTGATTGAAAACTTATTCTTAATTTTTATTGATACAGAATTTACATACCATGAAATTCAGTGACTTTTATTAACATAGTGGCAAGTTTGTACAACCTTCACCACTAACAAATTCAGAATATTTTCATCACCCTAAAAACAAAGCCCATACACATGGACAGTCACTCTTCATTTCTCAACCCCCAGTATCTTCTCTTTTCTCTAGTCCCTGGCAAACACTAATCTACTTTTTGTCTCTTGATTTGTCAACCCTGGGCATTTCCTATAAATGGAATCTTTGGACATGTGGCTTTTGTGCCTGGCTTCTTTTGCTTAACATCATGGTCTTAGGGTCATCTATGTTGTAGCATGTGTCAGTACGTCCTTCCTTTTTATGGCTGGGTAGTATTCCATTGTATGGATATATCACATTTTATCTGTTCATCAGTTGATCTGAGATTTGAGTTGTTTCCCCTTTTCAGTTGTTTTCATTTTTATTGTGAATAATGTTGTTATGTACTTTAGTGTACAAGTTTTTGTGTAGACATATGTTTTCAATTCTCTGGGTACATACCTAGGAATAGAGTTGCAAGTTTATAGGTTTAACTTTTTGAGGAAATGCTGAACTGTTTTCCAAAACTGTAAAAACTTATTCTTGTTTATAGATTGTTTGCATTTTAAATTGTGTATTACTTATTACACACAAAAAAAGTTCATAATACTTAGTAAATGCTGAGATTAAGAATCAGGAATCTGATGAGGATTAAAATCCAAAGGAAATGAAAACTGTAAGAAGGTGAAACTTTAGTTGAGGCCAACCCTGAATAGCCTGCCACTTTTTCATGTCTTTTCTTCTATTATGAACTAAAGTGACCTTCAGAAAGAAAGAATATAATTAATCTTAAACCTTATGTATTTAGTACTTTAAACTCTCACCTGACCTTGATTTACATGATTTTGTAAATAGAAGTTTTTTCTTACTATTTGCATGAAGGCAATAGAAAATTAAGTTACTAATATTTTTCTCTTGTTATTTTCAGGGCCCTGGAAACAGGAGGGTGAATGGAAGATGGTACATGTCTTCAAACTCAATTGGGAAGATGCTCTTGCTGCTTAAGAGACATTGCAGTTTTTTCCTTCCTATTTAAGACCGTTCCTTGATTTCCATTCCATACTGATATATTACTGCTTAGGTCAAATTTTAGATGAACTTCTGACTATCTATCCTATAAACAAATGTATTGTTTATAGAACATCAGAAAGCTCATCTTTGTGTTGCCAGAATGAAGTTGATGAAGGCAGTTTCGTTGTATGTTAATATTGAAGTAACTGATTGTAGATTTGCAAGTAAATTTCACATTTTAATTTATATGATGAAAGGGTCTCATCCTTTCTGTAGTTAAATAAGAATTTTATAGTTCTTTGAAACTATTTAAAAGGAAATTGCTACTCCTTTTAAAAATAATTGGAATGAAAGTATAGTTTTTTGGTGTATAAATATAGCAGAAATAGTTTTATACAAAGATATTTTAGTCCTTAAAAGTATGAAGCAATGAAATCGTGTAAATTCTTTATTTTTCATTTTCTGCTTCACATTTTCAAGAAGCAAACTCTAAAAAGTAATTTTCTCCTTTTGATAAAAAGATAGAGATTTAATTTTAGAAAAAGTTTTATGGGGGGAGGAAAGAATTTTTCCTTTATCCTAGGTTCTTTAGGCTTTAGTCTATTAAATCGACATAAGACAGATTAACAGGAGGCAAACTATTTTAATTAGATATCTCTGGGCGCCTCATAAGAATATGAGTCCCAGGAACAAGTCAGGCAGTTGGCTTGTATGCCACCATGACCTAAGTAATGGAATATAGGCCCAGGGCTTCAGAAGGGAGGAGAGTAATTCACAGTATGTTAAGAAGAGCAGATGTGTGGCAGTTAGATGTTTGCCTTGTCATACAAATGGCTCATTCAGATTAAAACTTCCCTGTGGTAATAGCTTTCCTTCTGGGCCAGGCCCCCTATCTGAATTATTTTAGGTAGTTAAGGGAACTTTTTCTTGAATTTACAGGGTCTTCATCACCTTTAGCTCAAAATAATTCACATACTAAAGGAGCACATTTTGGGGTCATGTTTTCTCCCTCTCGGTTACCAGTGTCACTTCGTGATGTTATAGCAAAATAAAGTTTACATTTGATTGGGGAAGCTGTATTCTTTAAGATAAAGGAAAAGGAAATATTAAGTTATTAAATAATTATTAAATTATTAAATGAATCTGCTGATAAACATTGTTTTGTATGCTCAGTGGTCATTGAAGTAGTAATTATATTAAAAAAGGGCTTGATCTAAAGTGAAAAATTCTCAGAATATGTGTTAATTCTAATTGAGATTTTCAGTTTTTATTTTAAGATGAAATTCAAGAGAGAATTCAATAAACACTGGAGTAATAGAAGTGTGTTTTGGAAATTGCTATTAGTTAACAAAATTAATGGTATCACTTCGATACTTTCTTTCCTATTTACTGAATTCAGGAAGATAAGCATGTAACATTGTTTCTCAATAATCTTCCTATCAAGGCACATTTGCCATTTTTTGAATTAACCATAATTTATCTTGGGAGAATCCCATTTGTTGGATGGCTTTATTCATGAAAACATGAGGAAGATGGACTTTTAAGAAGAGTGTACTTGACCAGGAAAATGAAAATAGAGAAGGATTGACTTGTTTTTTTTTAATTTACATAAAATGTAATCTCATTCCAAAAGTCAGATGTAATAGGTGCCAAGAAACGTCCTCTGAACAGGTTCCCATTGACTATCATGGCAGAAAAATGCCACCAACCAGGCGGCAAGCTGAGCTTAGCTCAACCTTGGCAGGACCGTGATTCTCACGGTAGCTTTCTGTCCCTCAGGCTGCATTCTGTAGAGCCCTTTCTTGTGGATCAGAACTTGTGTGTGTGTCCTGAAAATTTTCAAACTTAAAGAACAGTTGCAAGAATCTGAATCCCCACGTATGCCTCATCTAGCTTTACCACTTACTAACATGCCATACATTCACTTTACCACTCTGGATAGTAATAGTATTTTTGCTCAGCAATTTGAGAGTAGGTTGCAGACATCTTAAACCTTTACTCCTAAAGACATTAGCATGCATTTCCTAAAAATAAAGACATCTCTTCTGTAGTTGTACAAATTACTAAATTGACAAATTCAGGAAATCTCACAATAGTACCATATACAGTCCAGATTAAAATTTTTGCTAATCCTCCCAGAAATGTCCTTTGTTGTGACATTTTCCAAACATAAGATCATGCTTTGTGTTTAGTAGTCATTACATTTTGTTGCTTTGGAACATGTTACTTCTGTTCAGAATTAGAGGGTGGCTTTTTGACTCTCCCACAAGCTCTATTGAAGAAAAAAGAAGACACGGGGGATTTCAAGGTGGTAGCTTGCTAGAAAACTAAATTGCCCAGGTAAGGGAGACTTTTTTGTTTTTAACTTTGAAAACTTTGGCTGGGTTTTGGTGCCTTGACTCAGCAAAGTCTACAATACAGCAAAGCTTGGTAAGCATTAGAAGGGGTACTGAAGCTTTCCTTTATTTCATAATCCCAATTGTTTTTCTAGAAACCATCAATAGCCTCTAAATGACTGACTCAATTTTTGGATCCTATTCTCATGACTAAGCAAATGTTTGATTTGAAACCAGCCCAGTATAAATGTCTCTGTGCCTCTAACTCTCTGTAGCTATTCCGGATTCCAGCACTGGGGAAACCAGTCTATGCACCAAAATGTCTAAGTCTGGAACCAAGGTAAGTAAGCGGTCACACTCGGTAGCCTACCACTTTCTTTTCCTTTGTACCTTTCTTTTCCAGTATTCCCTTTCTTTTGGAATATTTCCTCTTTTCCAATGTATCTAAAGATACGTTGAAAGGAATGTGGAGAAAAGCTTTTGCTTCTTTGCCTGGAGGTGAGTATGACTGGTTTTGAATGCTGGGACAGGGGGAGAGAAGATGAAGAAATGCTCATTATATTTTTTACTCTAACAGAATTCCCCAACAAATTATTAAGGGTTTATCTTTGTGTTGGGGGTGGGGGGTGATGTTCAATACTGTGCAGGTATATATCAGTTAAATATCATCATGATTTCTGCCTTCTGGCAACCAATTTCCCCAGAAATAGGACATGCTAATAATAGGTGGAATAGAAAACTTTTAGTATTTAGTTAAAAACTGCTCTGTAAGGTTGTCTGGTCGGTTTAGTCAGTAGAGCATGTAGCTCTTGATCTCAGAGTTTTAAGTTTGAGTGAGGCCCATGTTGGGTGTAGAGATTACTTAAAATCTTTAAAAAAAATTGCTCTGTAAAAGTTAACCTCAACCACTAATGTTTTTAAAAAATCAATCAAGTGAATTAAATCCTACATATCCACTTCATTCAAGCAGCTACTCTTACCAATTTCCTGAAATAAAGTGCTTACTTACATTAGGAAAATTGCCTCTCAAATATTTGATTTACAGTTGTTGGTCTGGAAATTGATCTCTTACACTGGCTTTAGGAATGAAGGGATCTATGCCTGATTTCCTCACCTGCACCCCCTGCCAATTCTTTACTTTGAAAAGTTTCAAACCCATTACATCTTAAAAGAATAAGAAAGAGGGGCACCTGGGTGGCTCAGTGGGTTAAGCCTCTGCCTTCAGCTCAGGTCATGATCCCAGGGTCCTGGGATCGAGCCCCACATCGGGCTCTCTGCTCAGCGGGGAGCCTGCTTCCCTCTCTCTCTCTCTGCCTGCCTCTCTGCCTACTTGTGATCTCTGTCTGTTAAATAAATAAACAAAATCTTAAAAAAAAAATAAGAAATGTTGAATAAATACTTCCATATCCCTCACTTATATTCTTTAGTTGTTAGCATTTTGCTATATATTGGGTCTCTGTCTCTCTCTCTGTACTAAACCATTTGGCAGTAGACAATTCTTTTGCCATATTTAGGCATGTATCTCCAATAAACATACTATCATTATCTTGTCCCCCAAATTTACAATAAATACAATACCTAATATTCGGACCATATTCAAATTTCCCCCAGTAGCTTCCCCAAATGTGCTTCATGGCTGGCTTTCACCCTGATACAGGATCCAGTCAAGGATCATGCATTACCCTTGGTTGCCATGTTCTTTAACCATTTTTTCCTTTAGCCTCTTTTATATGGAGCAGTCGCCCTACCTTTTTGTTGTTGTTGTTTGAGACATTAACATTTTTCAAAGGCCAGACCAGGTGTCTTGCAGAAAGTCCTGAAATCTGCATTTGTCTGATTGTTTCCTCATATTTAGATTCAGACTAACCGTCTTTGGCCAGAAAGTTACATAGGCAATATCAAGTATTTCCCATCACATCATGTCAGGAGGCACCTGTTAACTTCTTCCAGAATTGGTAGTGCCTGATTTTTTTTTCCACTTGGAAAATAAAACTAATAATGATACTTGTCATCTAAAAGATTTCAGGAGAAAAATGAGACAGTATCTATAGTGCTCTGAGGTTCTTGAAAGTATGCCGTGAAAATCCCACTGAAAAGAATAGTAAATCCTTAGATGAGTATCCGTGTGCCTTGAGGAAAGACTGTTACAGAACCCTCTTTGGGGGCCTGGGTGGCTCAGCCAGTTAAGTGTCTGCCTTTGGCTCCAGTCATGATTCCAGGATCCTGGGATCAAGCCCCGTGCTGGGCTCCCTGCTTAGTGGGGAGTCTACCTGTCCCTCTTCCTCTGCCCGCCCCCCGCCCCTGCTTATGTGATCTCTCTTTCTCTTTTTCTTTCTCTCAAATAAATAACAAAATCTTAAAAAAGAAAACCCTCTTAGATGAAAATACCCCTGCTTTCAAAGATTTCCAGAGCAGTAATAATGTTTTCTTATTTCTTAAAGCTGCGTTGTTCACGGTGGTTAGCTAACTTGCTTGCTAAACCCAAAGAGCATGTTAATCTTTCTCTATTGCTTCTCCCTTTCCCTCTATCTTACTAGCAATCTAATCAGAGTTACGGAGCTTGGCAAAAACAATGCATTATACCAAATTTGGTTTTGTTACCTGGAATACAAAACATTTTTCTTTCTGCTATACTGGATTAATGGGCTATTTTTTCAAAAACTAAATGAAAATAAGAGGAATTTTGTAATAATTTCTAGGCAATCTCCAGCACTATTTCTTAGCCTTCTCTACAGATTTTTTTTGTCCAAGAATCTCAGCTCACTATAGAGTAGATTTCATGGTCCTTCTGCAAATGGAAATTGAGTAGAAGTACAACATTCTCTGGGCTCTGAGATTTGGAAGGTCTCCCACTGAAAGGAGAGCTTGATTCATGGAGCTCAGTCTCCATGGCAACACAGTACTTTGTTTCAACCTTGGGATGGTTGGTTAGTCTGCTGAAAGGGTGGCCAGCAAGGCGACCTTATAGAACATTGTGTATATTTCCACTTCTCAGATTCAGATGTCAGCCAGGCAAATGTGCATAGGGCACTAAGTATGGGAGACATTCAAGTAAAAAAGATACTAACTTTATTGCCTATAGCATATCCCTTGCAAAATTTCTTTTTTTTTTTTTTTTTTTGGTGACTAATTGACCAAAAACCAAAAGTAAATTAAAGTTAAATTAAGGAGTTTAGAATCTATTCATTCTTAGTGAAGTTACCTTAGTTTTTCTAAACATCTTTCCACAGGCTTTGGGGAAAGCTTCCCAGACTCAGAATCAATCTCGTTCCATTACTAGGAGAGTAAATGGTGTTTGTGAAACAGAGCTAGCTGTGCAGGGGGGGAAGACAGCAAAAGGAGAGAAGATAAAATGAATCACAAGTCACTGACCAGGACTTTTGCACAGCAGTCCACTCACTTGCCTGCAACGAACTCGTAACTAGCTATTGACCTTAGGCGAGTCATTTAACTTCTTCATCTGTTGCCACAGTAGCAAAAGTCTATTGGCAATTATGACCCCGATTAAACTAAGTGCTTTATTGGTATTATCCCTTCTCAGAGCAGCCCTCTGGAGTGCATATTGTTACCCAGGTTTACAAATGAAGAGCCTGAGCTTTGGAGAGTGGTTCAGTGGCCTATCCAAGGTCCCAGAGATAATGACTGGTGGGTGCTGCAATTTTGTTTTCATCTGTAGACTGAGACGCCATGTATCTCTCAGTCTGCTATGCTGAAATGGAGGAAATGGAGGTGGAAGAGAAATTTGGGAGAGGACGAAAGGAAATGGAGTCAATGATTTAGGGGTGAGAAGGGGTCGGGAAGCTCATAAGGAACAGAAAACGAGGGGAGAGAGACAGGAAGGGTAGATTAAGGTGGCAGGCAATACCCATCAGTAGGCTATGATCTAGAAAGTCTCTCCTGGGGTAGAAAACCCTGAGGTTTTATGGCCTTTTGAAAGTCATTCTTGGTTTCTGACTCTCTATCATTCCTTACATCTCATCAGTCACCAAATCCCCGGTTCCATTTGACTGTTTGTTCCCTCCGTGTCACCAGCTAGCAGTTGCCATTTGGCTGGCCTGCACCACCTCTCACCACACTCACGGCAACCACCTGCTTCCACGCACACCAACCAAAGGGATTCTAGCATGGCATCCATTATTTCTGGGTACTTCACCACATACTCTATATGCGCCAAGCTTGAACTACTTGTCCCTATGGTGGGCCATGTTCTTTTATTCCTTGCATGGGCAATCCTTTTTTCTTTTTCCCCAGAAACCCCCTCCTTATCCTTCAATCTTCACCTCAAAGATCCTCTCAAGACTACCTGGCTCTACTCCTTTCCTATGAAATGCTTGACCTGGTTTTCTTCTTCTAAACCGATAACGCCAATTAGCCACAAGGTGGCAGCATAACGCTAGGGAATTAACTGCTTGACTCGATGGCACCTGTTCTTTCCCTTTCGATTGTAAACTCCATTTATCTTGGATTGTGGAACTGTAGAACAAGAAGGGGCAAACTCTGCCGTCCATTTGGCCTGGTGGCTTTCAGAAGCTGCGTTAAGAAGCCCCAGAAGCGCCTAGGAACTCTGTTTCCTGCTGCAAACAGGAACGTTTAATTTTTACACCCAGGCCTTCAATCTAGTGTAGTCCTTCATCTGACAAGTGGGAAGCAGGAGCCCAGAGAGGCAGCTTGCCTGAGCTAGTGAGTCTGACTGTAGAGATGCAGCTCAAGAGCCCAGGTTTATAATTTCCCAGTTCTCGGAGCTGCATACTGCCGTGCCATCAACGGTCTCAGGCTTACCCCACAGGTTGTGGGGGGGGATCTTGGGAAAGTTTGAGGAAAAGAACATTCTTGACTTGCCATTTTGTTGCCTTGTAACTATTCTGTTGGCAATAAATTAATAACACAGAGCATAAAATATTGTCATGCATATGCTCTATATCCATCTGAGATAAGCTCCATAAAGCTAAGGTCTGTTATACTTTTCTCTGTATATCTTCATATCACCTAGAGTGAATGTCTGCATTTGGAACTCTCTCATCTTCATGCAATACTGATTGAGGGTTTGTCCAGTGCCGGGTGCAGGGTTCCATAGCTTAAATAAGGCTTGGTCCTTGCCCCTGGAAAAAGTCTAGTAAGAGTCTGATGGGAGAGAGAGATGTAAGTGGATAATTTATTTTCTTATGTGATGAGTACCGTGAGTTAGGGGAACAAAGAAGAGGAAGCCATGAACTTGGGTCTGGCTTATCTTAGGGCACTCTTTTATTTTGCTTCGTTTTAAACCTTCAGAAAGTTCTCCTTGCTGTTGTTGACCGCTTAAGTCGTCTGCCGGAAGGTAGGTGTTGGGAGGTGAGGTAGAACTCCGTATTTCCTCCTCAACATCGAAGAGAAAGGAATTTCCAAAGTGGGGACTATGTTCTTGGTCTTTAGTTTTTTAGGAATAAAGCTGCCCAACTCCCCGGTTCCTCTCTTTATTCGCCTCGCACTTCAGATCACTTTCTATGAGGACAAGCACTTTCAAGGCCGCCACTATGACTGTGACTGCGACTGCGCCGATTTCCACATGTACCTGAGTCGCTGCAACTCCATTCGAGTGGAGGGAGGCACCTGGGCCGTGTACGAAAGGCCCAACTTCGCGGGCTCCATGTACATCCTGCCTCGGGGCGAGTACCCCGAGTACCAGCACTGGATGGGCCTCAACGACCGCCTCAGCTCCTGCCGAGCTGTTCACCTGGTGAGCCTGGGCCGCGCCACCTGCCTGCTCGCTCCCGGCTCGCCTGCTGCGGCTCTCTCCGTCTCTCTCGCCCCTGCTACCCCGCTTCCTTCTTTTTTTTTTTTTTTTTTTTTTTTTAACATTCATGTGGAAGCATTTTCTTAACATTTTCCTACCCTTTAATGGCATGTTTTCTTCTGTTGGCTGCTGAGGCTTGCATAAAACCTAGGGTGAGTTCATCACAAGACTGAGTACATGAATTATTTCCAGAACACTCTCTCTACCTCCTGAGTACTTTAAGGCATCAAGTTTTTCCCACCGAAGGTCAGCTGTTTCAGTCAGTACGCAGCGGGGATGGGAGATCAGACCCTCTGGCTTTCAAGATGGTGGGCTCCCAACCACGCTGTTCTCGGAGTTCTTGACGTGTTGGTGATTTCCATAATCATCGTAGTTTATTTCCTCCTGTGTTTTTCCAGTCTAGTGGAGGCCAGTATAAGATTCAGATCTTCGAGAAAGGAGATTTTAATGGTCAGATGTACGAAACCACTGAAGATTGCCCTTCCATCATGGAGCAATTTCACATGCGAGAGGTGCACTCCAGTAAGGTGCTGGATGGCGTCTGGATTTTCTACGAGCTACCCAACTACCGCGGCAGGCAGTACCTCCTGGACAAGAAGGAGTACCGGAAGCCCATCGATTGGGGTGCAGCTTCCCCAGCTGTGCAGTCTTTCCGCCGCATTGTGGAGTAATGACGTGGAGGGGGCCACAAGCTTCTCCCGGGGGGCCATGTGCTGGCCAGCCTTGTCACCCAAATAGGCATCATAAATAAAACAATTGGCATGCATTCCACTGTTGACTATATGCCTCTCCTTAAACAGTCTTAGGGACCAGTAAAACAGTGCCCACCGCTGTGGGCAGTTACACAAAGCCGCTCATCCTTCAGATGACCAGTCTATAACTTTGTGCCAAACAGAATGGCACCGCATTGAAAGACAAGAAAATCATACTGCCCTGTGGTGGTTCTCATCCCTTGAGTCTGGTATAGATTCAACAGGTACAATAATAATAGCTACTGCCTCTTGTGTGCCTTCATTATCCCATTTTCTCTTTATAACAACCCTGTAGGAAAGGTGGTTTCTTTGCATTTTACAAATAAGAAAATAGAGGCTTAGAGAGACTAAGAACTTGCCCAAGTTCACCAGCTGGTGATCGGAGGAACGAGGTCCAGGATATTTGTTTCCATAGCCCCTGTTCTTTTCCCTTCATTTCCAACTCATTCATTCAACACCCGCTGGCTGGGGGTTTATGTGCATAATGGAAGTACGAGACCCTGAGAAATTTAAGAGGTAGAAAGTGCAGGGTCCCCAGAATTTCTCATGGAGGAGACAGAATACCTATCAAGAATGGACAGTGAGGGGCGCCTGGGTGGCTCAGTTGTTAGACATCTGCCTTTGGCTCAGGTCATGATCCCAGGATTCTGGGATCGAGCCCCACAGCGGACTCCCTGCTCAGCAGAAAGCCTGCTTCTTCCTCTCCCTCTGCTGCTCCCCATGCTGTGCTCTCTCTGTCAAATAAATAAATAAAATATTTTTAAAAAAGTGGACAATGAAAACAGAGCCATCATTTGGGAAAACAGTGGAGCCATAAGTCACCTGAAGGCCTTTGTTTAAGATTCAGAAGTTGCTGGGTCAGTGACCTCTCAACTTTAAGCTCAGTCTTTCTGTAAAAAGCACAAATCAAATAATTTGTCCCAACTTTACAACAGTTGAAATGGAGTTTTACTGAGTTTTACTCACTTTGAGCAACCCCTGAGATTTTTCTCTGCTTAATCTTGATGAAGAGGAGAATGGTGAAGGAAACCCAGTGTCATTAGGAATACTTAGCATCTGAGTCAACCTGAGAATGTTCTGGATGCGTCTGTCTTTAAGAGAGAGGGCAGAGCCCAGGTCTCCTAGGAGTTTTTCCAGAGAAGGACAAATTGGAACTGCTAAGGATATTCCCTTTGTGTGCATCTGTCCATACACTAGTGTGTTATGCTTTCTCTCCCCCAAATATTTTTATTCATTTTGTTAACTTCCCCTGCCTTTTGTCATTTTGTCGGTTTTGAATGAGGGACCTTGAGAGATTTGAGTAAAAGTAAAAGGGAGGGAGACAGGATGAACCATAAATGAAGAATGGGAGGCCACCCACTGAGCCACAAAAAGCTCTGGGCCTCATCACCCTACCATGAAGAGCACTTGCTTTATCTCCAAAATGGGGGCGTTAAACCAAAGGCTCACTCAAGTCACACTGAACATAAAAATCCTAATTCCTTGGAGGTCAGGAGGAGGGTGCAGAAAGGCTAGCTGATGACTGAAGACTCCTGACACTTTCAGTGGCACAATTTCTGGAACTGACCTCAGAGATCTTGTACCTCCTTTTCTGCAGAAGAAACTGAGGCCATGGTAACCGTGCACTAGGGCCAGCCTCTGCTCTCCTATCAACTGTTGCCATGTTCCGGGCCCTGAGAAGTTGGTCACGGTCTGTTCAAAACAACCAGAAACCCAGCGCTGGCAGCAGGATAGGAAAACAAGTGTCAGGATGACTTACCCAGTCTCGGAGAAGTAGAAGATGGCTTTTGACAGATAAACCAGAATCATCATTTGGGGATGTTACATGCCTCTGGGTTCATACCCCGATCCAGAAAGGGATGGCCACCCTTCTCCCCGGCTATAGGCACGTCAATCAACTTGCACTTAACAAGCATTTTACTTGCAATTGATATTTGAGGTCAAAATCCCTTTATGTCCTTCTCTATCAATCAGTCCCAGTTCTGGTAGAACATTCTGCTGTTCCAGCACAAGCCAGCGTCCCACCTGTCACGCACACCAGAGTAGCCCCTGGGGTTGTTATTTAGAATTATTATCTTCCTCTAGCTTCTATTGTTTTATCTCTCTGAAATGGGAGATCTCAAGAAACTAAGGCCATCTAGACCATGTTAGCCCTGTTTCATTCTCTAGCATTCCTCTGAGACAAGTCTTTGAATAGTTCCCAAATATAGAACATGCTTCCTCAAAATGCAGCATCTGGGGCTCCTAGTTCAGGCCTCCAGGGTCGGGCTGCCAGATTGAATGTGGGACAGTATTAGTAAATCACAAGTACTGGGACATAACTAACTATAGACACAGCACAAGTATATCACAAGTATTGCATGGGACATATTTACATGAAAAGGGATTTGTCATTTGTCTGAAACAAATTTAACTGCGCATGCTGTATTTTTATTTGCTGAATCAGTCAACCCGATACTCGAAGGGCAATTCAAGCTGCACGTGAGTGATAGGGAGCGGCACAGGCTCTGGAAGCTGGAGACACACATCCCACAGCAGGGCGCTGAAATCCAATTTTTCAGAAATGCTATGAACCAACACAGTGTGTCTGCAGCCGGATTGAGCCTAGGGACCACCAGTCCCCAATCTTGCCCTCTTGGAGAGCTCTGAGAATCAGAAAATGTGCTCACCCTGAGTCACAACCTGCTCCTTGTAACTCTGAACCTGCTTTCCTTCCAGTTCTCAATCCCAAGAGAGCCCTAGAGGTATTTCAAGATCCCTCCTGCAGGTCCCCACACTCTCATTTCTAAGCTGAACAATTCCTGTCCCCGCCACTGCTTCTCTCTCTGTGTGGTTGGCACCCACACCCCTCATCTGGTGCCTCTCTTCTGTGCTGGTTCCAGATGGATCTTTTCCCCACTGACCAGACTACATCTGGAGGATCGTGTCCAGGTCTTTCCCCTTCCTTTCTCAGATAGGCCCTGTCCTTGACTTACGCTCAGCTCTCCGGAGGCCCTCCCACAAGCCTTGATACAGGCCTGGGCAGCCTTTTCTAAGAACTGGCATTCCGGCTCCCGGGCTAGAGAGTTCCTTTCCTCCCTGGAGAGTGAGAGAAAAATGGATTCAAATTCCCCCACTTCCACATGGGAGCTCTAAGTCCATTAATATGGATAACCTCAACTTCCTTACCTGTAGTGCAGACAGAACGTGCATTAAAAACACAGAGTGTGTGTGGCCACTGCTCGTGCTCGCAGTAGTTGTGGTCTATAAAGACTTGAGCCCTGGACAGCAGAGAGAACTTTCTGGAGAAAATACAGGGTTAGGTGCCCGGGAACTTCTGGTCACAGCGTTTTTGTCAGCAGATCATTACTTAACCTTTTTTTTTATGTGTTTTTCAGTTCAAAGACACCTAATTTGATGTAGATTGTTGATGCCTTAGCATCCAGGCCCGAATGAAGATTAACAAAGAGCTTCTCTCCGAGGGGCATGGGGCAGCTTTCTGAGGGAGGGTTGCTCCAGAAGACCAGAGGGCATGTCAAGGCTACACCTGTGAAATCACCAACCAAGAGGGAGACAAGGCAGAAAACACAGCGCTGTGTAGACGGCAATAAAACCAAACCAAACAAAAACACTTGTTGACAGGAGGAGAGCTGAAACCAGAAGGCTTTGTTTGGCCTCAGCTGAGAACACAAGCCCAGAGTGACTCAAATTTTTAGCTGCCCGGCTCATGTCCTTGAATGTCCTCCGAAGTACCACGAGGAGCGATTTTGGAAGTAACAGTAAATTTTAGTGAATGGGCAAATTCCTAAATCCAGAACTTGTACTTTACCATTATGGTTGGCCTGTTAATACTGTTTTCTTAGTAGTATTTAAGTACCTCTATTACCAAATTGTTTGGGGTTTTTTGCTTTGTGTTTTACTTGTCTAGCTTTTTTTATTCCTCTTTCTATCTTCCAGTCGTTTTCAGAAAAGCATCTCTGCATTTTTGGCAGATGTTTCAGAGCTGGGAGGGCATACATTGGAACCATCCAACCCATCCCACTGTCTTGAAATAGAGCGATGTTTCTATGGGAGTCTGGCCTCCTCTTCACTCTCTCATTTGCCTCACTCCCCCCAGCTTCCAAGGGCAGCAAGAGTTGTCCCTAGAGCTCCCACAAATCCCCTGCTTTCTAACTTCCCTCTTATTTGGGGACATGACAGGGGGCAGCAAATCCCCAAATCCCCCATCTGGCTGACCAGCCTGCGGTCCGCACAGGAGAGAAGGATCCCTGGTGGGTGGGTGTGACTTCAATGCAAGGTGAACCTCTCTGTCCACAGACAGACACTGCCCACCTCTTCCTCTTCACTCAAGCCCCCTGCATCAAAATCGGGCAATGTTAGAACTGGAGGAAAGGTTTGGGGACTTTCCTATATACCCCAACAACTTGGTAAGATGGGGCTTACTAACCCCAGGTTACAGACAGGGAACCAGAGCAGAGACAGGCTAAAGGCGTTGTCCAAGGTCACTGGCTCCAAAGCTCTTGCTCCTTCCATGGCTCCACATGGCTTCTGTTTCTCTGTCCGCACAAGTCAGAACCACCGTAGGACACATGAGAGTCTGAGGGAGTCGTGCAATGCTAGTCAGAGCATGGGCGAGTTCTCTTGGGTAGCTCTATTGAGTTATAATCCACATGCCCCACAAGGCACTGTTGAAAGTGTAGGACTCACTGGATTTCAGTATATTCAGAGACCTGTGCAACTATCACCACAGCCCATTAGAGAACATTTCCATTACCTCAGAAAGAAGCCCTATACTCTTTAGGGATGACCACCTTATCTCCCTGTTTCCCCCTGGTCCTGAGCAATCACGAATCCACTTTCTGCATCTATGTATTTACTTATTATATAATAATTCCCTTATTATATATATTCACATGTAATTACTTCTATGTCAGTATTTACATATACATACTTATTCTAGACATTTTCATGTAGACAAAATCATATATTCTATGGTCCTTTGTGTCTGGGTTCTTCTTTCTTTCTTTCTTTCTTTCTTTC